AGTTAGGAGTACCCCTGCACTTATTATTTATTTCATTTTTATTATTATTACGTATATTTTTAGTTTGAAAATATGTGTAGATAAAAATAGGTATCTGTATATTATTTTTGAGAACAGTTAAACAGTGAATAGTTTTTATTTAAAAAATAATTAATTGCGACCAACAATTCTTTCAATTTGCCTTAACTAAATGTAGATGGAACAATAATATTATTGGTAGGCTCAGATGTTTAATTATGAATTAAGGAATTCTAAAAAAAAGTCTACATAGTATTAAATATTTTTTAAACTCGATTTGCATAATCAGATCTATAATATGAAACGACGATGTTATCATCAATTCGCTAATGTTATAAAGTTATAAATTGCTACTACAATATTTCAATTTGAGTATGAGTTTGTGAGCGAATTATTGGTACCTATCAGTTTTAACTTGTATTGTTACACTACTAATATAATATGATGTGTTGGTAAAAAATTTAATATTTACCTACTATAGTTGGGTACCTAATTTAGATGTGATCTCAGTTACTTTGTAAAAATTGTCTATTCTTGAAATAAATGTTTAAGTAGGTAGGTGCCTACTACGCTTACATTTGTCTATAATTTAGAATCACCCTATAAGAAAATATTATGCTCGTCATGCCCAATCTATTAAAACAATTGTCGTTGATTCTTTTTTATATTCTTTTTTTTTGGAATTGAAATATTTCTATAAGTGAGGGTGTAATAATTATAAATTTAAACCATAAATTATAATATGATAGAATTAAGACCGTTTTATCTTTGCACAATCGTCGAAATTCACTTGTAAATTTGTAAATATTGTTTTATAGAGTAGATGTAGGTATCCGATTTGTAAACAGGGTTTAAAATACAATTCACTTCGATGAAACATAAATTATGCATTTAAACTGTTTAATTCAGTTTTATGGTGATTCGATATTAAACATCTTAAAACTGTTTTCATTAAACCGTTTCGACATCATACTTGTAAATGTGGCATAATATATATTACAATATAATATTATCACACGGAATTATGCATGATTTTAATTTGGTATAATATTGTACATGGATAGTGTGGATAACACAAAATTAATGGCCTTATATCATCGTTTTATAATTTAAATAAACCTATAAATCGATCAATTATCGATATAAAAGTAATTTCATGATTATTATTTTGGTATTCGAGAAAAATGTTTTTTTAACTGCATGCATTTTGGGTAGGTGCCTGTCTTATTAAATCTTATGATTTTAATTTCATAAGATATAAATAATAGTCAATATTGATTTGAATTTGCAACGTAATAAGTAATACACCTATATTCAAGTAAAATATGAAATAATAATTTTTATGTGAAATATCATGGAAAATTAGAGGTACATAAAAACATTGTCTATTTAAGATAATATTTAACATTATATGAACTATGCATTTTAATATATTATATAAAGTCGTAATACGTACAACTTTTTAATATTTTACGTATTATGTGACTATAGTATTATTAATATACACATATAATAATTATGTATAGGTACTATCATATAAATATAATACACTTTTAAATACAATTTGAACCATATTTTACAGAAAGTTATTTTACAAAAAGTGATAACTGAAATTACGATTTTAAATGTGGTAAATAAAGTTTCTTTTTTTGCTACATAAAATTCCTTTCATCAAATACAAAAATGATAAGATAAGATAATATTATAACCACGATTTTCATTTTTAAGTATTATTATTATACAAATATGTATTCATATCATTTTTGAAGAAATTGTTAAATACATTTTTATATTAAATGTTTCCTTTAATAGTAAAAGTTTTAATTATAAAATAAAAATAACTAATCCCATTTCATTTCGTCTCGTTTTTAATTATATATTCTTTTTAAATATGCTTTTTAAATGTTTATTTAAGCATATTCGTCACACAATATATTTCTTTAATAAGTTCCAGGCAATTTTAAATAAAAATCAGAATATCTTTCGTAAAATGTACTATTTAAACAAGCCAGGTTATTGTTATTTAAGTTATCGTTACAGTTCTCCCTAGGTTATCGATTAATTAAAATAAATATAACTCTACTTAAAATGAACGAAAATACAATAAAAAAATGCTCAATATTTTATATAAAAGTAAAGTAACATAATTAAAAATTAAAATGCTGATAGAATAAATGGTTTATGTATAATATACAATTTATTCCATGCACTTTTTTAAGCAAATACAGTACACTTTAAAAGCAACATTAATAATATAATATACCTAAATACATTTTTTCACAAAATATTCTAACGTAACTAAAATGGTAATGAAATAATTTTGATTATTGTTTGAACTTGACACTTAAAGGTCAATTATTTTGATATTAAATTATCACTGACACATTAAACCAATGTTCTTAACATAAAATACAACTAAATAATGTAAATCTTAATAATTAATTTTGATTTTAATTTCTATAAATATAAATAAAACATCAAATAAAATTATAAATATACAATAATCTTAACACAAATACATGCATTTACATGTTGAAATCTGATTAGAATAATAGTTTACTTACAATACTATAGTAGTATTGTCAATATTAATTATATATTCATTGTAATAGATTATCTATGAAATTAGAACAATTTTAGAATTCTTTTTTCCACAATGTAGAAACGATTTTAACAACGTAAGACACAGACCAATACATAAATCCAAAAATTATATCGTAATTTGTAATATTCAAAAGTACTTTAATAATTATAAAATATATTACATTGCAGTATTGGATATATGAGTCCATTTTTTATACGACTGACCAACAAATATTTAAGAGCTTTTTATTTCTTTACATGAAGTGAAAGTATTCCACAAGGTCAGTTATGAATCAAAACTGTATAACACTTTAGGGTGTAAGTGCAATCATTTTCGTTTTAAAATAGCCAAGTAAAATGAAGTTCACCCAAGTTAATATTCGTGAAATTATTGTATTTCGGTAAAGTATTCATAAATGAATCAGATGTGATTAAAATAACAGAATATGCACAACATGCAAAAAAATGAAAAGCAGCCTCCTCCCAGTCTGAGATTTACCCATATTATAATATTTATTTCATATTTGATTAGATGATGTCTTGTTATTTTTTTTATACATTTTAAACTTGATTCATACATATTTAAGACATGTTACAAGATCGATAACATGTAAACATAACATTTGGTTAAGGACTGCGTAGTCGTACGAGTATACGCCTGTATTCATATATCAAGTACTTGCTGTGTGGTTATGGTGGTTACTCACACACACACATATAAAGTGCAATATGAGGTTCGTGCTTGCGAGCAAGTAAATAGTGTATAACTATTTGATATAATATACATAAGTATATTTAGTATGTAGTATATGGTTTAAAGGTAAGATGACGATGTATTTGCATCGACATTTCCGATGTTATAAAAAAAATACTCGTAGCGACTTCATCCGATTTTATTCGATTTCTATTCTAGCCCCAAAATAACTCAATAAAACAATGGAGTAAAAAATACATATCTTCGTTGGTTAGGTTATGTCAATTAAATGGAAAATATTATGCGAATTGTATGTTTCGGAATGGTTAAAGTAGCAATCACAGTATATGGTTGAATACTTTTAAAAGTTGTAAGTGCGTTTAAACAACCCAAAATGGCTATTTTTTTTATAAAAATATAAATGTGTGTTTTAAATTATTTTATTAAAAGTATATATATACTGATAATTGGGTTGAGGGTTAAAATTAGAAACAAAAATAAATACTTTTAAAAATTCAAATATTTTTGAGATCTTATTAATAAATATTTAAATAAATGTTCTATATTTTGACTGCTATATTTTAAGTCTGAGAATGAGAGAAATATGCCTGCAATATTATACTTTTAACTGTATCGATAACAATATTAAAGTGTATAAATCTGAGGGTTATAGGCATACTTAACTATATTACTGACTACTGTAACATCGAAACAAACTAGAAACAATGTTGGTACAATTGTTTCTTAAATAATTTATAAATACAAGAAGAATGATAATTTACTAACTTTAAATGTTTTCATAGACTCAAACTTTATGTAAGGCATAAGCACATCGTTATTTGATATGAAAGTTTATTATAGAACATTGCTTATAAAAAAAAACTCATGGTATCTATTGCTTGAAGTATAATAATAATAATAACATATCCCTCAACAAAATAACAGAATGTGTTTGCTGGTAGGTAATAAAAAAGAGTATTGTTTTGCTAGTTATTAGGTAGGTAGTCATCCAAAAATAAATATAAAACACAATCAATAATATTCTCTGCACTACAATTTATTTTATTTTAGTTTGCTGTAGAGTATAGCTATAACTCGGAAATTATTTTATTGGATTTACGAAATTTCTAAGAAAAATACATAGCCAATACCTACAGTTGTTTTTACTGTAAATCGTATGTAAATTTAATCACACGAGTTCCTATAAAAATAATAGATGCGACTGTAAAATAAAAAGAACAGTCGTATAAATACATGACAAATAAACTAGGTAACATAAACTATTTCTAAAATATATTATATTATTCACTAAATATTCATTCAAAATTTTTACATTATATTAAAAGGAATTTGATGTGTTGTCGTATAAACAACAATTAGTACCTATACCTAAACACCAAGCAAAGTACATTAAGCTGTAGGTAGATAATTAACAGGTAGGAAATAACTATTAGGGGCCGGATTTATATGTAGCATTAAATTTATTATTTTGCATATTGTTTTTCTAGTACTTAGTTTATAGAGTAGTTAGATTTGATGGACATTTTAATTTTAATCTGAAGAAAAACTTAAGTATAACATTTTATACTGAAATATTTATGCATATTTTGCTAATTTTTTTCGTTTTCTGCATATTCATATTTTTTTATATTATATAATATTTGTGGTTTTTGAGTACATATTATTATTATTTTAAGTATATTTAGTTTAAAAACAACATTTCGAAGTATATTTACAAAATACTTATCAAAGAAAATAAAGTAAATTATAAAATCGTAGTATAAAATCATATTCCTGGAATTCGATAATCTTTTCTTAATCTTATCGTAATAAACTAAAAACATAGAAATGGGGGCATACAGACACCAGACTATATACGTACAAAAATGTTATTAAATTGATCCACTAAGTCTTACGATACTTATCTATAATGTCGCATTATATATATTGTCATTGACCATTGTATAATATAATGGAAAGAAGTTTCCAAGGTACAAAAATGTGTAAACCAAGAATTAAGAAGAAAATGTAGTTTAATGCTACTTGTAAGCTATAGGTTAGCTATAGGTTAGGTTTATTCATTTTTATTAAAAAAAATGATAGTGTCTCGTTAGGTATTTTTTATTTAATTGAACTTAAAATATACAATCGACGATTTTACCAATAATTAACATTTCACGTGCTTTTGGTTTAAGATGATTTAACATTTCGTTTTTTTAAGTAATAGTTTGTATAAATCTTTTTAGTGATATGGGGATAAAATAAATATCAGTAACAATAAGATTTGATTTTCATATTATTAATGTACTAATTTTTAAAGTGCATATTTCAAAGATGTGTAGAACATATAAATCCGAGCCCTAGTAATTAAAATTAATGTCTTATTAAAATTACCAACAACGTATCATCTAATTTTATGAATCGTGTTGAGTATATAATCATGTGATTAAACCATTATTTGATTCCTCATTTTATTTACGTTCTTGTTATACCTACATAATATATATTATATTAGCGATAATAATAATATTGTTCATAAAAAAAATATAAACAATTGCACATCATGCGTGTACAACGATAACTTTAATTAATATTAACTGTAAAACATAATAACGAAATTATTATTTTTTTGATTATAAAATTGAACTAGTTTAATGTATAATTTTGATTATCAAGCCAATGACCTAGCTGTCAAGGCAGTGCTTAAAAACAATTTTTGATTATCTGATTTAAAAACCCATTAACATTATTACGTTTGAATGGGTGCTTTTAAAATATAGGTAACTGAACTGAACTATAATAAATAAGTTAAAACAATTAGGTTATATTTATGAAACCTATATAATATATAATATATATATACGCTATAAACTATGTAAGCTGAAGAGTGATTCTTATCATACTTTAAAATTGATAATTCTGTAAAGCAGAAAATAAAATAATTTATTTTTGGAAACTTTAACAACACTAACATTTAATATTTTTGCTAAAAATCTCTAGATTTTACAACTTATTATAAACTAAAATAATGCAAGACTACATTTTTTGATTTTAAGTTGTTTTTTAGAAGTTAGAATGCATTTGTTTAAAAAAAAAAGGGGGGATGAAGATTTTGGTAATATGAAGTTTTAAATATGAGTTACTAATTTTCAAGAGTTTAAAAAATTACTTTTAGACGTTAAAATTTAAAAAAAAAAATCAATCAAAATTAAATTCACAATCATGAAAATAATTAGTTTAAAGCAATCCAAAAATAAAATTAGGTAATACAATCTATAATAAATTGTGTTGATAGTTGATGGCTGATGTTCGTTAAATATTATATGCATCAATAGATGATATATAATTTTTATTTTATGGTGAGATTTGAACTTAGTGTATGAAAGTTTCCAAAACTAAAATATTTTAATTTCATTAATTTACAAAAGTACCTACCATATAGTTTGTTATAAATACAAACATTTGTATTAATAGTGAATCACCCTGTGTTTATAATATAATAGTGCATATTTTTTACTTGACGAAGAGTGAAAAAATCTAAATGTAGATATAATTTTTTTAGAACTTTAATCATCATATTATTACATAATATGTTTTCATTAAGCTTAAAAACTTTGAATTTGGTGCATATGGACTCCCGAAGTAGTTCGAATTTACGAATTGGAATGTAAACAAAACTACCAATGTTATATTATGACATAATATTTTATTCAAGGCTAAATTAGGAACTTTAGTATTATCAATATCACCAAATTTCATTCCAGCACCCATAAAATATGTAGTTCAGTCTTATTTTAATTCTGTGAATGTATATTATAATATTATATTATACCATACAAACTATAATATTATTTAATATGTTTAATTTAGTTAGCTCAATCGTATATCATAGCTATAGAATATATTAAATTCACATACATATAACCTTAAAAATCCAAATATTTATGTTGGGGTTAGCTTGAAGAAAACATTAACAGTTGAAGTTAACTTCTCCTTGACTGGTAAGTAGACTAGAGACGAATGAAACGAATCGCTGCGACCACTTAGTTCCTTCTTGGCCGACGGAGATACTGAACAGTTCTCGAGAAAAAACGACTGCATTATAAACGGTTCGTGGTTTGATTCAGGAATGCAGTGGTTTTTTCCCGATGGTGATACGTTTTCCGTTTGACGCGGCTTGATCGATGTTCCCAGTTTGTCGGTGAACACGTCATTTCCGTTATTGTCTAACGACTTGTCTGCTGACGAATCTTCGTTGACGTTAAGTGTGACATGTGTGTTGTTGGGTGAATGTAAAATAGAGTACGAAACGGGCGAATTCACAACATCGGAGCTGAAATGACAATGTGTAAAATGATATTCCAACTGTGTCTTGTTTTGAAACGCCACGCTGCAGGTAGGACATGTTAATGGCATGTCCTTCGTGGTTTTATTCTCGGTGAGATGAAACTTTTCGTGTACGAAAAGAAACGATAAAATGGACGTGGTGAACGAACAGTATGAACAACGATATTCTTTCATTTCATCGCATATTATGTTTTGTTCCTCGACTGAATTTTGTTTAGGACTTCCAGTTGCTCTTAAGCTCGTGTTCAACTCGTTGTTAGATTGCAAGTTTTGTTTTTCTTCTTCCATGTGATTCTGAATGTGCTTCCATTGGATTTTTCCCTCAGAGCCATGATCGTTTAATAAATGAGCACTTAACCACTTCGAACTTCTGAACCGCCTAAGACATATATTGCACACTTCTGTATAGTGTTTGTAATATCTATGACCGTTATCAGGTTCGTCGGACAGTTGTCCGTTCTCAGCCATCGAATCTGTCCAATATTTTTGGCAAGATCCATTTTCAACAATACCATGTGAGTTCTGTTTGTGTACTCGTAGAAAATATTTACTGCAAAGTTCTTTGTTACATATATCACATACTACTCCCCCGATATGATTACCATTTTGAATCGATATACCGTGCATCCGTTGCATATGCGTTTTCATGAAATACTTATTACACAATTCTTTGTTACATATTTTGCAAAAACTACTCAACATGGTAGTCTGCTTTCTTTCACTCAAGTCTTTGGTCTCATGATTAATGTATTCCTCGTTTTCTGCGGAAGTTTTACTACTAGCCGACGCCCTGCCCATTCCTTTGATGTTACACTCACCTTGCTCGATATGTTCTTTCAAAAATGCATCAGAATTAAATATTTGATGGCATTCATGACATGAGTGTTCAATACGTACATTTTCATTGGTCTCTAAAGTTTCATTCATTAGTTCATGAACGATGTTTTCATGTTCATTGAAAATGTGCGCTTTTAAGGATCCATTTATTTGCATGTTACATACATAACATGTTGACATATTCTCTAAAGAATTTCCATTAAATTTAAAAAACAAATTATGTAATGTAAGTAACTTGCTTTTACTTATCAATTCAATTTTAGATTCATCTGTTTCAATATTTTTATCAATTTTATTTTCATCTTCAACAATTGTTACGGAAGCTGGAAGAGAATTATTTAAGATGTTAACTTTTTTTCCGATATTGTTGTCCGTTGAAATACCATTTACACTATTATTCGTCATCAAGTTCATGGGTTTATTAGTGTTAGTCTTAAATTCAGTAGTCTGCTGATTCATATCTTTAGAGTTCGGTTTTGAAAAATCATTTTGAATAATTGGCTTTTCATAATGAGTATTTATGATATGACTTGAACTACTTGTAAGTTCACTACTTTGAAGATCATTTATATTACCCAATACATTATTTAATTTATTGGTGTGGTTTACATTTCGCTCATCATCTGCATTCTCAACTTTTATGTTATCATGCGGGGTTTCAACTTTAGTATATTTCATTACAAGTTCTTCTTCATTATCCACTGGTGTTTGAGTGTCTTTTGAGAATAATTTGTCATCTGTTTTTGAAATTTCAGTTACGTATTCGTTGACACAAAGAGAAGGTGATACTGTATTAACATCTTTATCACAAGAATCAGAGATCCCAAAATCTAAAAATTCATTTTTCATCTGTTCATTTGTTTTGAAGTTTAATGGGACATCTTCATTTATCTTGTAGTCTCCATCATCAGTTATTCCGTGAATTTTAGCTTTATGTCTCCTAACAAAATATTTGTTACAAAACTCTTTCTGGCATATACTGCAAAACGCCCGTGTTTGATTATTAAATATATTTTTTGATACATATGAGTTTGTATTTCCCGACGACTGAGAAGATAATACAGGACTTTTAAACAATGATGATGTTGAAGCACCGATATAATTTTCATTAATGTTTGAAGAAAAGTCGCAAGTTGTCGTGGGTAATGTTGATATTTTAATTCTATCCAAATGATCTAAACTGGAACTGTTTGAATGGCTGTCACTGAAAACACCATGTTTATTAGCCTTGTGCGTTTTTAAAAAGTATTTGTTACAAAATTCTTTGTTACATTGATCGCAAAAGGCTTCTGGATTAAATATTTGAACAGAGGTCGTCCCAACATTTGTGCTGCCTGAGGTGCATTGTTGATTTTTAGAAAATGAACTTATACAAGTTGAAGATTCATTCGAATAGTCTTTCTTATCAATATGTGGTATTCCTTTCATAAATGTTTGATAAGAAGAATTTAGGTTATTATAGATTTCAGTAGATGAGTTTTTTTTCAATTGTATGTCATTAGAAAAGTTCATTTTTTGTCCTTCATTTGGTGAAAGTTTTTGGTTTTCAGATATTGTCAGATTCAGAGGTAAAGAAGCCGAATGATATTGCGGACAAATCAATTTTAAATCTGTCACTTCTTCACTGTTGTTCAATTCGGTTTTATTTCTGTTAGAACATAATATTTTTTTGTCGCTTTCATTTTTTGTATTTTCTTCATTCGACGATATCCTTGTAGGATTTGATTGTTTCCGTCGTTTTTTTGTTATGTCTCTTAGTTCTTGGTTTGTTGCAATACGTTTAGTTCCTATTTTTACATCTATTGTGTAGTTCGTCTTACCTGATATTGATTTTAATAATATATCAGTCCAATTCAAAGGAAAATCCATTTTATTATCTGCTTTACCGATTGTCTGCATATCAGTTTTTCTTTGTTAATAATGAAGGTAAACTATAAAACAAAAAAAAAACATTATTATTAATAATAATAATTGAATAGGGCTTAAATTGATTTATAAAATATGGAACACAATATTGTTTAAGACTTTACTTAGCAGCCATTTATACTATTCTTATTTAAGTAAAAAAATCTACTAGAATAACTTCTTGAATATTTAGATTCTGCGTATTATAATTTATAAACATAAACATAAAATATAATCATCATTAAAATATTATGTTTTTATAATAAACTTAACAACGTATTATCATTTGTGAATTGAACAGCCATAAATTATACATATTATATTATATATGTTTTTATTCAATGGGTAAGAAATAAATAAAAAATCGTTAGCTTTTATATAAGAACCCTAAATTTGAAAAAAAATCCATAAATCTTTCTTCAAATTGAGTTTTATTTTTTTTTAATTCGATGGTTAATCATTGTCTTAATCTTTATGCATAGTAAAGTATAATTTATAATATTATAACATAATGATACACAGTTAGTAATCACTAATCACCTAGAGTTGATGCACTATAAATCCGCTTGTAAATGACAAAAGAGAAAAAACTTAATGTCATCCGTTTTATCAAATAAATATAATATAGTGTAATAAAAATAATTGATCAATGCAAGGAACTAACTATATTATGTGATAACTATTAACCTTTCTTTTCTATTATTTTAATGAATTATGATTATTAATAATATTAACCTAACTCAAGTGAGTCTACTATAGACCTTATATAGTTCCTACATCGCTGACGATCTCTAGGGTTGGAAAATCTTGGGAATTATTTTCTTCTAAAAATTTCTTTCTAATTTCACCAGTATATTAAAATTTAATTAAAACTATTTAGCAAGAAATTAAAAGAATAGTCTAACGGAAAATAAAAGCAATTATAAAATAATAATTATTATAATTTTAATTGTATCAGAAAACAATCAGGCATTTGAAAGATCAATATCAAAATTGAATTGGCTTTACTTTTACATAGCCATATAGCCATATAGGTATCTATAATATAATACTATGTATAATAAATAATAATAAACTACTTAAACATTTAAAAATACATTTTACATTTAATACTGCAGGCTGTAGCTACTCCAATACATAATTATTTCGTATTTGTAGTTTTGTACACAAATAAAAAAATAGGTACGTTTAATTTTTGTACAAAAATCGGTACGATTATAGTAGAAAAAGCTTTCAATGTAAACATACGTGTTTATGTATAGTAGGTACCTATTATAGACCATGCGGGGGTGAAAAACGGTTTACGCTATTACGCTTAATAAAAGTAATTGGTTCCTTGTAATCATTGAACTTTGTAAGAGACATAATGCTGATACAGAATTAAGTATTCAATTTAAAATATTTAAATAAAAAATTACATATTAACTATATCAGTAGCTACACAATATTACTAAAAATAAATCATGTGAGTGAAAATGATAATAATAATTGGCGTTTAAAGCATTTTTAACTTTTTAACATTTAAGGAAACAATAAAAATATAATTAAGATATATTTATTATTTTTTATTTAAATATAAATGTTAAGAACTCATTTATGGTTCAAAAAATTAAAAAAAAAAAAAGTTATAAATGTATTAGTAAATAAGAAAATGGGATTATTTTGAATAATCAATTACGTGCACGATACGGGGGGCTTAGCCTCTTGAAAACATTTCAAGCCCCTCAATAAACGTGGTCATCTGATGTAAATATCAGCTCGTTATAATATTTGCATCGCATTTTAAGTACGGCATAACATTATGGTATGGACATTTAAACTTTTGAACGTATATAGGCTTTATAGAGAATCTTTCTATAGGCAAAATAAATACCATAACTCGACTTGGTTCATAAAATATATCATTTTCCTGCAGCTATAAATTTAAAAATATTTAGTCTCCCCATTACAGCATATAAAATAAATATCTAATTGTATTAGTATCTATGTTTATAGTATGATACGAAGCGGTATCACGAACATTTTATACATTAGGGGAAATATTTAAACTACCCACCCACGTATGAAATTAAAATTTGCCTACCTATGTAAAAAAATATTTTTTCTCATTAAATAATTATTGATATCATTTTTAAAATACCAATTAACGTTACTGTAAACCATAACTTCCAATAATAAATATTCTATAATCTATAAGCATTAAACATGTACCTAGCATACAATTATAGTACAATACCTATAATATTATCTTCCCAGTTCCCTTATACATACCTAACCTACGGAATGCGTTTTGTTACCTATGTGCTGACTCCTATGGTAAATTAGTAACATATACCTATTGTACAATGCTAATTATAATGATGAGTTATAAAAATGAACATAATACTATTCATAAATGATAGTTCAATATAAAAATATTCTTACACCCTTACAAAACTACGCGAAAAATATGTACGTAACGCCACATATACACTTTATAGGTACAGAAAATGTTAAGATCTTTCATCTTTTACTTTAAAAAAATATATTGGTAGGCGGAAGGCCATTTGAACTTATAAGGCCATTTAAGTTTTAATGTCATATCCAGAGTAATCAATATTTAATAACCGATATGTGTAAGGTCATTAATTATAATGACATTTAAATTAATCTGTATAGTAAAATATAAAATACGATTTAGTAAACAAAATCTTTAAAGCAAATACTCGAATTCAAAGCTATTGATTCCAAATTGTTTTATTTAAAAAATATTATATTCATACACTTCAACGAGTTTAAACTTATATAATTATTTCATAAAATACATAAATAAATGAATACATTTTATTCTTGTTTACTTGGCTACATTTGATTTACTGGTTGCGAGTACAGCCGATTTTATTTGAAAATTCTTAACTATTTTTGTGACAAATACTACCTTAGGCAATTAATCAAAATTACTAATTTAACTGTTCATAGCAGAAATTATAATAGTCATCAATGTGACTATGTGAATATCTTCTTCATAATATTGAAAAAATATTAAGTAGACATAAAAAAATAATAACAGGTACATAGCCAGCTGTGTTGGTTTAATTCAGAGAATTTGCAAAATAGTTTTTTTTAAATATTGGTTAAGACAAAATAATGTTTAAAAGAAAGAATTAACTTTGGTGGAAACCGCACTGAGACTGAAGAATTGCTCGTTATGACGTTATAACAATTAACGATAATTCATTTAATAATTAAAAATGTGTTAACTACCAGCCAATTACACTATTATATTTTAACAGTGTTCAACCATGTCTATCTTTATATAGAGCAAATACTATATACCCATAGTAGGTTTCTCTTCATAATACAAAAAAACATACATTTTTCTAAATTTTGTTCATCTTCTATACCTATAATTTTTATAATTTAATAAATTCCATGAATATCGGAATGTATAGATATAAAAGTTAAAATTAGAATACGACATTTATTCATGGTTGACATAAAAACAATTTGCAGCAAAAATATGAAAAAAATTGTTTGAAAGTAAAATTTAAAATGCGTATACCTAATATCATCCAGTTACTGTGAATATTCAATTTTGTAACTTATCCATAAACACGCGACACAATAAAAAAAAACGCAATAGGTAACTATAGATATTTAAAAATAAAACAAATAATAAATGAGACACGAGAAACGCAGGTATAGGTACACGTCTTTTATACTACCTACTTACCATTTTCTGCATTATATTGTTATTATCGTATCATATAATATTATTGTGCACTGAAGTTAAACACACGTGTCTGCCGACAGAGTGACGCGACGGTGCGTGTGCGTGTGTTTAACGAACTTTTGAAAGTGCACGTTTTCGCTACCCACACACACACTTTAACTGTACCTTTTTGTACATCGATCTAACTAATATCGTAAAAGAAATTGTGAAGAGCAGCGAAAATGTATATTTCACTTGGCAGCCGACAGCCGTTCAATCTAATTTAAAAGTTTCGCATATTCGAACGAAATAAATTAACAATGTGACATGAAATGAAGAGTTTAAAAAAAAAAGGAAATGCGTACTTTAGTGTGCTAAGTAACGAATACCATAAATATTTATGAGTAGGTATTTTCTTACTGGACATGACGGCAGCAGTGACGTGACAATCGAAAAACCGAAGAGACTCGTGGCTACGACGGTGGTGCAGACGACTGCGATGTTGGTGATGGCGGCATTCGTACTGGTGCATGTCTCCGTTCATATCAAATTTTAACGTAAAATATATATATTTTTTAATATTCTTGAAAATTACGATCTCATTACGAACACTCGATAGGTGCCCATACACTCGTCAAGGTGGTTGACAAAATTATTGTACACGTGCTAGTCGTATCCTACACAAAGTTCGCGTGTTTTATATTATGGTAAATAACGTGATATAATGCTGTAATAACGATAAAAAAAAAAAAAAAAAATTCAAAAAAAAAACCAACAGAGTAATTTGATTTAATAGCTATTATTGTTGCTGCTGTGCAAGTACAACGACGACGACGATGATGATATCGTTCGCCACCACGTCAACGTTCCGCCGACGGTGGCACACACGTATCGACTGGACGCGACGCGTCGCGCGCGTCGGTGGTGAATCATAAAATAATAATAGTAATAGTAATAGTAATAGTAATAATAATAATATAATATACGACGCGCGCTCGAGGGCAGTCGTCGCCACCGCCACTGCCGCCGTCGGGGTGCCGCGGTTGGAATGGACGGTGGTGCGGTGGCGGTGGCGGTGCCTCCGTTAGCCACGGGGTTGTGACGGGCGGCGGTATTGGCGGCGGCGGCGGCGGCGGCGGTGGTGATGACAACGCGGTGGCGACTTGGGCGGCGGCGGACGGCCGACGGACGACGACGTCTCCGCGTCCGTATCGGCGGCGCGCCGTACCATCGCACAAACACACACACACACACACGTGCGCAACTATTACTATTATTGTATTACGGAGACGCGCGCGCGGCTGAGCCCAATTACGTATGGTACGCGTGTGTCGTATACATATATAAATATAATATAGTAACACGGTCGCATCGTGTGGCAGTGTGCTCGAGAATTTCGTACTATAATGCCGTTACGGACGAGGGGAGAAAAAACCTAAAACTAGGGAAAAGTAAAAAAAAAAATGTAAAAAAAACTGGGGGAGAAAAATGGGGAAAAATGCGGAGATAAAAATAAATAGCACCGCCGCCGAAACGGAATATTATCGATTGTCGCGCGCCGCGTGACGTCACGCGCAAAACCGTGGCGCGCGCCACGCGATGACATCGGCCGGCCGTCGTCCGTTCGTAGATCAGTTCGTAGATCCGCTGGCCCGTCGTGTGCGTATACCGCGGTATACGTACGGTCGGCGGTGAGTGGTCGCGACGTGCAGGTGGGTAGAAGACGGTCTTGTGTGGGGCAGGTGCTGGTGGTGGTGGTGGTGTGTGCGTCTGGCTCGAGGGACGGGTGGAGACGCGATACGAAATTCAATTTCAGATAGTCGATATATAATAATAATATGTTATATATACATTATTATTATATTTGGAGTCGTTCAAGTTTATATCGTATAATATATAAAAATATGTATTGTAGGTGGGGTGACGGTGTGCGGGGCGGTGCGGGACGGATAAGTTGCGCAGCGTGGACGGTATTTGTCACCCCGCAGTCGACTCTTTTTTTTTTTTTTTTTACTTTATACACGATATACACACACGACTCGGTGTGCGCTTTGTGCGTGTGTGTGGAATACCGCCCAGTTTTATGTTATTAAGATTATTGGTCGAGCGGCGAGGGGTCGACGTCATCGTCGTCGTCGTCGTCGTCGTCGTCGTGGTTCGGATGGAGGCGGCGGTGGTGGTTGTTGGGTGTGGGTGACGGAGGATGGGTGGATGCAGCGGCGGCGATCGTAGTCGCGTAGACCATAGTCGCCGCCGCCCTCGACGACGGACGGGACGAGGGGGGGAAACGGCGAGCGGACAACCGTTGCCGCCGTTGCATTTTTACGGTCCCTTGTTTTTAGTGACCGAGGGAAACGGAAAATATGAATCTCCCCCGCGCCACGGTTTCGCCGATGTTTCGTGTATTGTATTCCATATACATTATGTACATGCAGTTTTTCAAAATATTTCTGTTTTTATTGATTTTTTTTCCCCGTTATTTTTATTTTTATTTTTTTTTTATGTCCTCGTCTGTCGCCGCGTTTCCGGCGAATCACCCCCCTCCCACCGGTGACGACGATTTATAAGCTTTTATTCTATTATAATACAAGAAATAATAATAATAATAATATTGATTATCATTATAATCAATATGGCAATATTGTAATACCCGTGCAATAATTATTATGTTTAGTATTACAAATTACAATTTATTTTATCATACACGTCCAATTGTAAATATGAAAAATAATATACCTATTATCCACCTATATAATATGAACGGTCGATGCAATGAGACCATTTTTTGATATTTACATTAGATACTGTATACATATGCATTTTACGTACAGTGACGATCACTTAATATACATAAACTTTATAATATTATAAAATATGGTTTTCTCTCCTAATACCAATCACACCTAACATCTAACCTGAGGAGTAGTAGTGTTCAAACAGATTCCCCCCTGCTGTCGGTTTAAACGAAAAAAAAAGCACCTAACCTCGACTATTATAATTTTTTAGATTTCGAAATAATTTTTTCTGCCTCATAGTACCTAATAAATGTCTGTATTATTAAAATAATAACTTTAAAGCGCTATGTATAATATGTGTTCTGAACAAAAATTATTGCAATAAATTGAAATAAACAGGATAATAACAATTTATTTTCATATACTTATTCAAAAAGATTATTATTTCGTACGTATTTAATGTCATAATTAAATTTAATTAGTTTATGTGTTATAAAATATATTTGAAAGGTCAATTTTCAGTTATTTTATTTATTATTTATGTATAGCCGTATAGGTACTCTATGTAAAACAAATGTTTAATTTCAATGCATTTTTTTGTGTGATTTTCGGAGTCTTATTGCATGTCTTGGCGCATTATTTGGAAATGTAAATTAATTTTATACGGGGCTTTATAGTGCATTTTTTCACAGCTTAATCCACGTAATGTGTAATATATATTCTTATTTTTATTCGATCATCCAATGTGCTTTACGCTAGCGACAATTGGGATCATAAACCGTTTTAAAGTTAGCGTGTGTAGCCATGTTAGTAAACGCTGTAAATAATAAACTTACCAACACATTATTTTTTTTCTTACTGACTTATTTTCATTTTTATTTTTGGAATTGAATTCTTCTGATCCACTTTTGAAGTTTGTTTGTAATAGTATTTTTATACTATGTTTCTGTAATTGTGAAAATAAAAATCATGTATCACTTAAAAATGACGGCCTAAATTTTAGAATAAAAAGTTATCTTAAATCTGTTATGTGATTTCCGGTTTCATAATTATTTTAAAGTATTAATTTTTCCCTAAACTGTAGCTTTGGTTGTTTTAATATTAATATGATTTTTATTTTAAATTCAATGTCCTTAAAATGTTTTGTTATTTTATGTAATTTAAATACAATTTTCTTAAAGAATTTTTTTATCTTTTATTTACTAATAATAAATACAAATTTAAACATACAATTAGTAAAGATACTACTAATAATGTCCTCATAATTCATATTATACATTTATGAATAGTAAATTATGTCTATAATTTCATAGTATGGAATTACGATGTGTACATAGTACATAAGTATCACTGGATCGGAACTAAATATGCATCATAGATTATAATAATACAATTGCTGCATTCACCTAGCAAATTTAATTTTATTAAATTAGAGAATAATAAGTAAACAACTTTTCGAAATATGAACTTAATTGTTCGTTAGTTGATTAACAACATCAAAATATGTACAAGACACAAACACCTACATGTATATTTTTTTATATTCTGCAAACTTATTAAATATAGTTATTCCTACTTAGAATTAAATAAAAATAATTATAATTTATAGGTAAACGGTAATTGGTAATGGATAAAAGTTAAATTGAAAACCTTGTTATACTTAATATCAAACGGGATATTGTTCATACATTTTGTGATAAACATTTTAATGTACAGCATATAATATAAAAGTACAAATACATAATTAAAAATTGCAATATGTTCTAAAAAATAAATTGAAACATTCGGAAACTTTAGCAATTACTAGTAGCTACATTTCAGATATTAATTTTAAATTATAATACTTGTTGTTATTTTCAAGGAAAAGTTAAAACAAATAAATCACTGATAAATATTAATTAGAACATTTAAAACTATTTAAAAAACTTCATGTATAATTGGATTCAATTTTAAATATAACGCAGATCAGTGATCGCAGATCTAAGGTATAATGTATTATAAACATGTTATAGGTACCTACCTTTTGTGTTTTTAATAATGACTATGTCTACGTATTTATTACGTATTCACTGTAAGTTCATATTTTTTAATTTTAGTAGGTAAATACATACATTTCCAGCAAGTATAAAAATGTTTTGTCTTATAATTTTAAACATAAATTTATAAAAAACAGTTAAATCTATCAAACTTTTCTAGGTGCCTACGTATTCAAAATGGAAATTAAAACACTTTTATACTGATTTGAGATTTCATAATTTATGTTTGTATTATAATATTATTTATACACAGTTGTTATCGATAAAATCCTATATTTTCTATAGACGTAGAACATGTACACAGCATACGCTTTAAGTAGATATTCTTGTAGTTCACATTTCGTATTTTAGTATCATCGGAAAATATAATACCCCCTATTTCTCAAACCATTCACTCGCTCAGCGGGTTCTATCGTGAAAAAAAATCAATAAAAATGTGATGACCAGATTTAATTATGTTTACCCATGTTATATACGTGTGTAATATAATACTACGGTAACAATACATTCTCGAGAGCCCTATAAAAAAAAATCCGAACAATGTAAAAGCTAAAGGTACGACGGTTGACGATGATCTATCGTCGAAATCCGATCAAAAATTACTTTAGCACGTATGACGTATATATACCCACTCCCGTAGGTATGTGTGACAGAATTATAATATTATTACAATTTATCTTATTCTTATGTATAATAAAATATATAAATTATGATGTGTAGAACGTTAAATGTATTTTTGCAATATTAGGTGAGTTGAAGTAATTTTTTGAGTAATGTACAACAATATAATATATACTACCTACCCTAACAGTACAAAGATAGGTAAGTAAATGGTTAAAAAGCAATATAATCGGGAATCATCGATTCAAAAGGCCGAATGAACTTTTATGTCGACAGGAAGTTCCAAGACGTCAAGACCCTCTAAAGATTTCCTGATTATTGTGCTCTGACCAGGTATTATTATTATTATTATTATTACAAAAAGACTCAGTGGGGTAGGCACCCATATACGGCTCGATACTGGAATGTGGAAGAATATTCTAGATCAGAGATTTCATACCGCAGTACCCCTCGCAGTATTTATTGTTATAAATACCTGTATGTGGCCCACGAGCA